ACCAAACCAAAATGACAAGAAATACTAAAGGGAGTCCTCCGGTTAGAAAATCAGTAACATCAGGTAACAACCCAAGACTAGAGCACAGGACAGAGCAACCAGATATCAACCCAGATAGGGAAGTCACAAAAATAAATCAAAGCTAAAACACTGAAAATAGGGAGACAGATGTCAATATGTGAAAGATGACAACATTAAACAAAAAAGAGGGACTTAAAAAAATGTAGACATAGACTTTGCATATGAAGAGGAAGTCAAGGTGATGTAAAGAAATAAAAGACTGGTATAAACTTAAAAAATAGGGGTAAATATTAGGGTAACCACAAAGGAAACTAACAATCCTACAAGTCAAAATAAAAAAAAACTAGAAAAATACACTCAGCAAACACAAAATCAACAACAGTGAAAAAGATGAAAATACATAAAGAAAAATGACGCAGCACAGAAAATTAAGTGGAACAAAGAAACTGTCAACAGCACAAAAAAAGACATCAAAATGACAGCACTAAACTCATACCTATCAATAATTACGCTGAATGTAAATGGACTAAATGCACCAATAAAGAGAGAGTGGCAGATTGGATAAAAAAACACGATCCATCTATATGCTGCCTACAAGAGACACACTTTAAAGACACAAACAAAAACTCAAAGGATGGAAAAAAGTATATCAAGGAAACAACACTCAAAAAAGAGCAGGAATGGCAATATTAATCTCTGCCAAAGGGCAGATGAGGATGGTACCTGCAAGTAATCCCCACTCCTTCCTCGGGACTCCTGATCAGCTCTCCCTGCCGTACCCCTGTATAGAGTTGGAGGTCAAGGGAGCCAGCCTGGGGGCAGCAGTATTCACTGTGTAAATACGGCTACTACATGGACATGCTGACTTTGCCAAATGTGGGCTCTTAAAAGATTTTCCCAAGCCCCTTGGAGAGTGTGTTTAGGGGTCCCCCAAGGTGAAGGGTACCATAGGCAGAGCAGGCTGATCCCACCCAGCAGGAAGGTGATGGCGTCCCTGGCGTCCCAGCCGAGCTGTCTGTAGCAGGCTCAGGGAAGGTGTGAGCCACCCACCCTGAGGGAACAGTAGAGCCCATGCCAGCAATGCTCCCCAGAGATGCAGGGCTCAGAGTAGGGCTGTGACTGTACTCCTCCAGCAGAGGAGCTTCCAGGCCCTGGAGATCTGGGCCCCCCCAGCTGAGCCCTATGGCCTGGAATCAGCTCCAGGTAAGGGCACTCACCAGGTAGCATCCTTGGCTTAGTTTGTCCACTCACTGAACTTTTATCTACCGAACGCCTGTGTGCCCAGTGCTGTGCTAAGCACGGCGCTCATTCTGCTCAGCAGTCTAATGGGGACGATAAACTTCAAATCATGGTCTTAAAGTTACAGCTGCACTAACTGTTGTAAGCACTGGGTGCTAAGAGGGAGTATGAGCAAGTGTCCTTTACCCTGAGACCCCAAGAATGCACAGCATTTTGCCAAGTGAAGACAAGCCATGCAGGCTGAGGCCCAGATGGACAGATACTTGTGTGGTTGAGATGAGGCAGCCTTGGGTGAACATAGTAGGGCAGGCTTTGTCGAATTCCTCCTTAGGGGCAGAATGTAGTTGAATGAGGCTGGCACAGAGCACTGCTTGGGAGCCCCTGCATTTCTTAGAGAAGTCATACAGGGTGGAGAAGTCCTTGGAGAAAGGCTTCTGGTCCTTGCCTGACCCCAGGAGTGCCCCCTGCCTTTTCAGTTGACTTGAGAAATCTAGTTGCCTTGAATGGTTTCCTTTTCTCCCCATTGCTAGAAGGCTGAGGCTGATGCAGAGTACAGTGCCCACCCCACCTCCTGTCACCACCTTGTCAGCTGGAGGGAAATCAAACCCTCTTTTCAAGGACTAGGAAGTTCCCCTCTAAGTGGCCTGGTGTGGGCATCCAGGGATTGAAGCTTAAGTCTGACTTGAAACATGGTGGGAAGGTTTGGGTCACTGTCTTTAAATCCCCAAGTTATGGTGGTCCGGGGATAAAGCTTGGGGAGGGGAGCTTGGCACAGGCTACCTTCCTGAGCCATGCTTTGGGTCTAGGGCACCCTAGAAGCTTGCTCCCTGGTAAGTGGGACAGGTCTTTTTCTTCCTTGTCAGAGAGTCAGACTCCTCATCACCCAGGGAGCAGCCCCTGCCCTTCAGCATGGGCCAGTGTTGGGTGGGATGGGGGGCCCAGAATGTTCTACCTGGGAGGAGTGAGGCAGTACCTCTCTGTCTAGGGGAAGAATGCAGGGATGCTGGTCAGTCTGAGTACTATGGTAGTGGCATCGTTGGGATGGGGAGGGCAGTGTTGAGTGCCCTTGCTCTGATGCTTGTCCTTGGCCTCTAGCCCTGGCCCAGTGTGTCCAACCTGGCCAAGGACTTCATTGACCGCCTGCTGACGGTGGACCCTGGCGCCCGCATGACTGCACTGCAGGCCTTGAGGCACCCGTGGGTGGTGAGCATGGCAGCCTCATCATCCATGAAGAACCTGCACCGCTCTATCTCCCAGAACCTCCTCAAACGTGCCTCCTCACGCTGCCAGAGCACCAAATCTGCCCAGTCCACACGTTCCAGCCGCTCTACACGCTCCAACAAGTCGCGCCGTGTGCGGGAGCGCGAGCTGCGGGAGCTCAACCTGCGCTACCAGCAGCAGTATAATGGCTGAACGGCCCAGCTGTGGTGCAAACGTGGATGGTCCCAGACTGGCCATGGCAGTGCTGTGCTGTCTGGGCCTGACGCCCTATCTGAATAGGCCTTTATGGCCAGGGGTAGGTGTAAAGTGGCTCCAGCCCCCTTTGTGCCTTCAGCTGCCTCCATCCTCACCCTGTGCCTGGGCCTAGTATGACAGAGTGGAGGTGGCCTAGGGGGGACTCTGTGCCCCTGAACTGGGAGCCTGGCTTGGCACTGATGCCCTTTCTGGTGGGCAAATGCACTGGTTACAAGTTGGGGAAGGACCAGGGCTTCACTATCTCATGTTTTGGCTCTTTCCCAGACCAAAGTGGGTGGAGGGTGTCCTATAGCCCCAGGACTCTTCGGGACAATTACTTCTGGAACAACCCTCCCTCTACAGGGCCATCCTTCCTGGCCGCTTTATTTCATGGCATCCTGATCCTCAAGATTATGCTGCAGTTAGAGGCTTAGCTGGGTGCTTTATGCCCTGGCTGGATCTAAACAGCACCCCTGCCCCCCAGTCAAGATCTGCCTTCCTTCATGGTGCCCCCAGGGACCCCTCCTGGTCCCAGGACTAATCAAGGCCTCTGGTGGTAGGCCATGGCATGGACCTTGGCCCTTTTGGACTGTATGGCCATCCTGGTGGCTAGTAGAAGGGTTGGCGCAGGCTCAGCCCTCTCTCTGATGATGAGGGTTTCTGCCCCCCACCCCCAAGCCCACTGCCCTCAGTGCCTCTGCAGAGCCTACCATCACCTCCCTCTCCCCCTTGGATACTTGCTCTATTCCCCAGGTGCCTCCCTCCCAACTGTGGAGGGTTACAGGGAACCCCACTGCTGCTACCTGGGGATGGGGGTACCTGGGCCAAGGCAGAAGGTAGGGGCTTCCAGGAGAACCCCATCAAGACTTCATTGTCAGCCCTCCTACTGTTCTTTCCTCAGCAGCTGCATGAAGGCACAATCTAGTGTCTGGAATGGGTGTGGGCAGCCTAGGAGTGACCACCTTGCACATCTATTGTCCTCCAAGGGGAAGTGGGAAGGGAGGAGCTGCTGCATGGGTGAGGTTCCCTGGGCTGCTCGGTCCTCCCTTTTTGCTGAGCTTCTATACACCTCTCTCTGGAACTTAGCCATACTCTGTGACCTGCCTCTGAACCCTGAGTGCCTAGGAGCACTGGCCTTCTCACAGCTGGCCTTGGCCATCAGCCTGCCCCTGCTTCCTTTCACAGCATTAGCCTTCCAGTCTGGGCCCCACTGAGCCTCAGATGGAGGTGGCCCCTGCAGGAGGTGGGTGGGGCTGGGTGGCTGCTTTTCCAAAAGTCTGAGCCAGAACCATCCCCAAGCTCCCTCCCTCCACAGCTGCTTCTAGGGAGTGGGAAGGGTCAGGGCCCAGCTTTGGTCATAGCTGGACTGCAGGGCCCCTGCCAGCAAGGGAGGGTTTGGTCCCTACTCAGCTCCTCCCAGTGGGCAGCCTTAGCTAGGCTCTCCTCTTTCTGCGTGTGCCTTCTCCAGTGGGAAACCAAGCCAAAGAGACTAACCACTCTATGCCAAGTTGACTGTGCCTTATACACCCCCTCCTTCCGTCTGCCAGTGCCCTGGGGTGGGAGGCAGTGGAGAGCCTGAATGTTATGGCCCCCCACCTCCCCTAAGTGCCTCTGGAGGCCTGAAGCCCCAGGGATTTATTCCCTCTTGGGCTCAGGTTGGGCCTGGTCCTGAGGGTCGGACAAAGGGGTTTGGAGACTTGGGCCTTTCATAGCCCTCCACCTGGGCCTTCATGCCATGGACCGTGGATGGAGAATGTGCAGTTATTTATTTTGTGTACTCATTTTGTAAATGTATTCTCTGTACTCAATAAACAAGCTGCCCTCCCTAGGGAAGGCTGCCCATTTGTTCCGTGAGTCCTGGCTCCTTGTTGTAGGACCAAGGATTGTTCAGGAGGAGGAGGGATAAAGGCCCCAGCCTGGGCATAGCTACTGTAGGAAGATCCTGACTTCTCACCACCTGCTCTGTCAGAAAACGAAGTCCAAGTGGGGACCAGGACCCCCAAGAGCCCCTCCTTCCCCCAGAGTCAGGAGGACAGACAAGAATACACAGAATGGAGCCTGGAGTCTTTATTGGACTGAGACAGGAGAGGGGCTTATGGTGGACTCATTTGTAGGCTATGACCTGGTTGATCCAGGTGCTGAATTTGCTAACCCGAGTGTATGTGACAGGTGTGCCCACATTGCAGTTGGAAGTGCCCCAGGATACAATGCCAATGAGCACCCATGCGGTGCCTTTCTGGCAGACAAGGGGGCCTCCAGAGTCACCGAGAGGAAGGGGGAGGGGAAAAGTCAGCATGAGGGGTGCCATGGGATCACACAGAGGATGGGGTGCCACTGCTCACCTGGCGTGAGGATGAACCAGAACGACCTGCGCAGATCATGGCATCAGTGACATGAGCCCCAATACCGCTTGCACTGACTCACAGTGACCAGGGGCAGAGCTGCCTGCTGCAGACATGCTGGTGTTACATTGCCTGTGAGACAGAAGGGAGTGGTCAGGCTAGCCCAGGATGTCCTGTCCCCACTCTGACCCTCCCACCTAGCTCTTTGGTCCTCATTTCTACCCACACCACTGGTGCGGCCTCAGCCATTGGTGACATTTGAGGCCTGCAGTCAGCACTTCCATTGGGGCAGCCAGGCAGACTGGTGAGATGTATTGTGTACTGGGCTGGTGAAGCAAGCTTCAGAATCATCAAGTCGTTCATGGTGGTGAGGTTCCAGCTAGGGTGTGTGATGGCCTATGGGCCGGGAAGGGACCACGTAGGGCAGAAGTGGCACAGGTACCCCAGGTTGGGGGGTATTGAAGGGGCAAGGATAGGGATGCCTTAATTCCTGGTTCCCAAAACCCACCCTCCTGCACTGCCCACCTCCCTTCTCACCTCTGCTACCTAGTACACTCACCTGCAAGAGGGACAGAACCTGCACGGGCTCAGTGTTGGATGATCAGTTGTACTCGTCCAGGATGACAAAATGGCGGCCTGGGCTGCAGAGAGAGTGGGGCTGGGGCAACTGCAGCTAGATGAGAGCAGATGGAGTCTAAGTGCTCACCTGACATTGCAGTGAGCAGCAGTGACTACCAACGACTGGCTGATGAGGGACTCACCACAGAAGTGGAAGCCACTGCTGTCCTGGGATCGAAGGTCAGAGGTTGGGGTGGGCTCAGGCTATGCCTAGGTGTGAAGCACCTGGACCCTGCCCCATCCCCAGGGCACGTATACCTGCAGGGACATCTGCTAGGGCCAGGAGCCTGGCTCTGGGTTCTCCCCACGGACGATCCTCTAAAGCTCAGTGCGGGTCTGATGGCGGGAATGACGCAGTCTAGCCATTGGGCTGGTGAGGACCTGCCTCCCACACCTCAGCCCACCTCCCCCCCCGACCAGGTGCCCCAGGCTCTGCACCCCAGAGAGGTCCAAATTGAGAGGGCTCATCACTGCCCCTTCTCACCTCGAGGCCCCATATTTGCCTCGGTTATCGTCACTTAGCCAGCCCCCAAGTCCTGTCTATTCTCTCATCTCTCTCCCCAGCCTGCTCCCACTGTCCCCCAACTCCACCCCTACCCTCCAGCCCAGGCCACTTTTCTCCCTGATCCCTGGGATAGTATCTTCTTTGGCCTCCCTGCTCCCTCCAGGTCTCAACAGTCCATGTTCTTCATGCAGTCAGAGGACTCTTTCTAACCTACATGTTCAACCTTCATGTCCCAGCTGTCTAAACACTCTCTGGCCCCTAGGTCCCTCGGCCTGACCCAAGCTCCTGTCTACCTCTTACCCCCTCCCAGCCTTACAGGCCTATTCTTGCCTCCCTGCCCTGGCACCTCCTTTTTCTTTTGCCTGGAGCATTCCTGTCCACTCTGCTCACCTGCTCCCCTCCGAGCCAGCCTGGCTATTCCCTGGGCCCCTGTCGGGGGCTGGTTGCCTCTGTTCAGTTGAGGCTGGTCCAGACTCACTTATCCCAGGAGGCACCGAAGAGGACCAGGCTAAGGGTCAGTCTGAACAGCAGCATTGTGGCAGGTGTGAGGTCAAGACCTGGGCCTGGCTATTTATGAGACTCCTTGTCCTTGGGCCAAAGTCCTGGGCCTAAGGCCAGGCCAGCTGTTGTAGGCTCAGCCCCCTCCCACGCTCCAGTCAGGAGGAGGGTCTCTTTAGCTCAAGGTCCCCCAACCCAGGGGCCCCAGGAGGCCTAGACTTATCAGAACCCAGGTGTGAGGCTCTCACCACCTCCACCCTGCAAGGCCTAGCCTCTGATTGGGCCCCTAGCCCAGAAACACCTCACATCCAAGGACAGATTAGGTCTACAGTGGCAACCTGGTGGCTGGGTTCAGGGAAGGGGTCTCCCAGGACTATTAGGGGCCCCAGATTCTCAGAGAATACTGCTCAGCACCCAGGGGTGTTCCTGTCTGGTGGAGGGAATGCCCAGCTGTGGCCAGTTATGCTGTGGAAGGCTAGGGCCATATGGCCAGGAGGGAGGTTCTGGCAGGTTGTAAATCCTAAGACATCGTCGCAGTTATTTTCACTCTCACAGGTTTGCTCAGAGATGGTGACTCCCACCAGGACATGGTGGGGTTGGGCCCAAAGCTTCATCTCTCTGGCTCCAGAATCCACACTCTTAATGATGGATGATGCTTGTGAGGGGCCTGGCATACAGAAGGGCAAGGTGTGAGTCCTCAGTGACTGGCAGACTCACTGGACTGAAGTTGTGGCTGAAGGGCAACAGCTACCAAATCTGTGACAACCTCCAGGCCTTGGGGCTCCCACAAGCAAGCCCTTGGATTATAAAGCCCATCTGTTATTGAGCTTCAGGCTGAGCTTGAGAGAGAGGACACCCCTGTGTGGAAAGTTGCGATGGGTAAGTTGTCTGGCCTCGTTCCAGGGGAGTGAAGGCTTTGACTGGTTCAAGAACACATCAGTCAAAAAAAAGGTGACTTAATGGATGGATAAAGAAATGGATAGGTATGTGATAAAACAACTATAACAAAGTACTGTGTAAAATTTGGTAGATATATTGGTGTTCAGTGTACAATTCTTTCACCAACTTTTCTGTTAGGTTTAAAATTTTTCATAAAATGTTGGAGAGAAAAACACAAGCAGGAGGGGTCCAAGGGTATCCAGCACGCAGTGAGCAGTAAATGTTTGTTGAATAAATGAATTGTTTCTCCTCACGTGAGCCCTGTGGCCTGTCAACTCTTAGCCATTCTAGAAAAGTCGAGTCAACCCTCCTGCTCCTCACAGCCCAGCATGTAAGGAGCTCAGGTCTGCCTGGTGATCTGAGGAGTGTGACAGGTAAGGGCGGGAGCACTCTGAGAACTTGCCCTTGGAGCCAGGGAGTAGCACCTCTGTCATCACTTTAACCCATGATGGGGTCTGTGGAGGGCCTGGCTGAGGGGTGTGGGCTCACCTGTCCTAAGCCACTGAGGAGCTGGGGAAAGGCTCTAGGTGGGGGCTGTATATGGGGCCTTCTGGGTTTTACAACAGTCCCCAGTGGACTAGAGGGCAAGAGCAAGGCAGGGGAGTGGCAGGGGGGAGCCTCTGTGGTGTGGAGAGTCAAAAGGGAAGTTTTAGAGGCAACAAGATGTGAGCTTTCCACCTTGAACCTGCCGTGCTTGCCAGGGCTGGGTTCCTGGAGGGATGGGCACCTGAGGTGATGGGGAAGGGCACCTTTGGGCTAGGCACTGGAGTTGTGGAAGGGAGTGGCTGCTCCAGGGACACCCTGGCCATGGAGCCCTGCTGGTTAACTGCCCTCCTCCACCCAAAAACAACACAGCCCTGTTTAGGTATTTGCATTTCTGGTTTTATTCCTCCTTGTTTCAACCTCTAAGCCTCAGCTTACTTCACTCCACCTCCATGGCCTGCACGGTTTCCTCCAGAAGCTCCAGGGTCAGTGGCCTCACCGTCTGAGTCAGGACAGGCGTAGTCCCAGGAGCAAAGTGGTACCTGCCCCGTCTGGAGGGAGGGGGCCAGCCTCTCAACATGGGCACATCATGTGGCCCCATCCTCTCCTTACAGGCCCCTGGCTTCCATGCTACCCTCGCCTCAGCCTCCCGTGTTCCCCAACCCCTGTTCTCACCTCTTTATGGGCTCTGTGGGTGAGCTCAGTGTCCGCAGCAGCTTGGCACCGGTCCTGGTGATCACACATGCATCCACACTGCCCCCAGAGCCCAGGTCACCCAGGATCCCTGCAGTGATAGCTTCTACCAACAGCCCCTGTGCATCCTCCAACTGTGATGAGGAGTGTGTGAGACCTGATGTGCCCTTTTGGTGTCACCCTCAGGCCACAGACTCTGGTAATCCCTAAACCTTGACTATTTACCATTTACTGCATCCAATCTCCTCTTTCTCCTTCCTCTCCACTGAGTTTGAGCCTTCCTTTCTACCAAGAGCCCACGTTCCCTCTGCCCACTGTCACCTCTCTTTATAAACTTTACAGAGTCGTCTACATTCGCTGCTCAGCTACTACCAGCCTGTCCCCACTCAATCTTGGTCCCAGTCCATGAACTCACCGCGTTTCCCGCCCTGGGTCTTAGCCACCTCTTTCGCGACATACGTCATCTACTTCCCACCCAAAACAAAATCCACACTCCAGACCTCGGTATAGGGCCCCATTGGCCGTTCCCTCCTCCCTCCGCTAAAATCAAACGGGCCTCTCTGAGCTTCGAATCCTCGGAACTGTCCAGCCTTTGGCATTGGCCGGTAGTCTGTCCCGATCGCACTTTCCCCTCCACCCTACGCTCGCCCCTCAGTCTCTACTCAGAAGTCACCTTCTCTGAGAAGCCTTCCCCAACCTCCAGACTCGGCCAGGGTCCCTCTGGGCTCCCCCAACACCCGGATGCACTTCCCACCAGTGACTACGTAATAGGGGGACAGGGGTCGCTCACCGTCATGTTCGGCTGGAACCGGTCCTCCAGCATCGCCATGGCCGCGTCCTGGCCGGAGCCTGCAGGCAGAAGAGGCATCTGAGGTCAGCCGCGGCCGCCCAGTGCACACGAGAGGCCAGGGTCGCAGAGGTAGGGATCGTGAGGAAGGGACGGAAGCGCTCACCCAGGGCCGTGAAGGGCAGACGACTATAAGAGCCATGGGGATGGACGCTGTAGAGTTGCGGTCCTTTCGCGTCTACACCGCCCACGATCAACGACGCACCCACGTGACCGCGGTACCTGCCGGCGGCGTGGACGCCGTCATCCGCTTGCGTCGGCTCCAGACCCCGCCCCTCCATTCTAGTCCAGCCCCTTCCCCTGGTCCGACGCCCCATGACTGACATCACTCCTTCCTATTCTCCATCTCGTCTTAGGCCGGCCCCTTCCGGTCTCCCCTCACCCGCCCCCTCTGCTGTCCCACCTCCTCTTAGCCCCGCCCTTTCGTCCACAGCCCCCCTCCCCGGGTTGTCTTAGCCCCGCCCACAGCACCGGAAAAGCGTCTGGCGCAGAGTGCGGGTGACTGTGGCTACGCGGGGCGCGCGGCCCGTGGACAGCGCGTGTAGCTCCATATTGGACGCCGCCATTCGCGTGGTCATCTCAGTGTCTGCGGCTACTCCAGCCCCACAGCAGCTGAGGGCGAAGGGAGGGTCGGTGTGGGCAGTGCTGTAATACGCGGGGGACGGGGCGTGGAGACGAGGGGCGGTTCTTGCGCGGGGGAACAGGGCTGGGAGGGTCCTCACTAGATTTTGGGGGCGATGAGGTGGATCTTCTCGCAGTTCTTGTCTGCTACGACCGAGTCGTTAGTGGCCCTCGTGTCCGCGCCCAGGATGACCCCGTCCTAGGAAGGTTGAAGGGCCGCTGGCTCAGTGCCCGCCCGGTCCCCCAGCCTCCCTTCTGGGTTCCCCCCAGCCCTCCCTCCCTCTCACCCGGAAAACAAGGCCCGCGATGGTAGTCCCGGTCTTGCGTGCATGAGGGGTCCGGAGCTCCGGGAGGACGCGTTCTAAGGATGCGTTTCTGGAAAGGGAGGTGGTGGCCCAGGTTTCGGTTCTTCCGGGATCTCCCAACCCCAATCCTCCAACGCCCCAACCCCGTCCTGGACTCCATCTCTTCCTGGCGTAAGCCTGGGAACCGAATCGTCCCCACCATGTTTCCCCACCACTACAACCACAGGGAAAAAAAGCCCTGGGGCCGCACCCAGCGAAGCTCTCGTGGCGAGATCTGCGGCGCAGGACCAGCCCCTCCCCACACACACCTCTGGCAGTTTTCGAAGGAGAAGCCCCCTCGGGGCTCCAGCGCTGGCTTCAGCATCTCGGGGCGGGCTGGGCGGTACAGGGACAATAGGTCGATAGGTCAGAAGAGTGGGGCGAGCGGCGGTGGGAGCAAGACCGGCCTCACCCTAGGGCGCAACGTCTGACGCTTCCTGCTTTCGCTTTCACCTTTCTTCGGAGGCCGCTGGCCCCTTTCTGCCTGCATCGTCTTTCACTTTCACCTTCGACTAGTCCTAGGCAGCTTGGGAATGGGAGGAAGCCCCTGCTCCCTGGATCTTCTGAGCAGAAAGAGGTAAACAAACCCCTGCTCCTCTGGCCATTGAACAGCTGGGCCTGTGTTCAGTTCCTCCTCCCCCGGTCCAATGTGAGGCCCCAGGTGTGCCTACCTTAACTCTAACCTTAACTCCTAAGGCTGTCAGACCATTGGCCAGATCCATTTGTATTGTTACTGGCCTGCCGACAGCACCACACTTGGCTCCACACCCTTTCCCTGGTTAAAACCCTTCCACAGCTGCACCCTGCTCTTAGTCTCAAGCCCAAGTCTTCAGTGGCCCATGTTGACCTTCTCATCCCTCTGGCCTCAGCATTGGCACCACCTCTTCTGGGAAGCCTTCCCTGACCCTCAAGGCTCAATCAGTTTCTTGCTGCTGACTCTTGCTCCTCCTATACTTTTCTCTCATAGTACTTAGCTCCATTTACAATTAATTCTTCATTAGGGAACTGGTCTGATTAATGGCTGTCACTCCCTCTACCAGATTCTAAACTCTTGTTCCTCTGTCATCCACACAGGAAGTACTCAATAGCCTCTGTCTAGAGGTGAGTTCTTGCTTGCCCTTTTGGTGCTGGGAGGGCCAGCTCTGATCTTCTCCCTGTACCTTAAGCTGCGTGTGCCCCCATCCCATGGCTGTATGTACAGCTGGCTCCAGTCTCATGCCTGGCACAGAGGCAGGCACAGGACAGGCTGTCCAAACAGCTAACCGGGAGAGTGGGTATGTAGTTCAGTCCCAGTTTTATAGAGCCCACCTTGCCCCGTGTTCCATAAAGCTTCTGGCTTGTGGCCGATGATGAGGGAATCCTGGTGTGTGAACCCTAGTGCTTTCCCCTTATCCCACAACACACACCTTTGGGCTTAGAACAGCAAAGGAAAGTTTATTCAGGGGGTAAGGACCCTGGGCTGGCAGCCAGGGGTACAGGGGAGCCACTTCGGTAGGCACCCTGCAGGATTGCATTGATGTGCTCCAGTGTCTGTTTGCTGAAGACCATGTTTAGGTGCTGTGTCCCGTGCAGGGGCAACAGGTGCACAGGTTGCGGCTGACGACCCTTCCAGCGGGCACAGAGCTCAGTACTGCGCGTAGCCACCGTGTCATCACCGTCCTCGTAGAGTGCAGCCACAGGGTCTGTGTAGGGGAAGCCGTGGTCATAGATGTAGGTGTGAGGTGTGGGCAGTCCTACGCCATACAGACAGTACACTTCCACCCCAGGGGCTGGGAGCCCTGCCAGCAGGTCACGTGACTGTAGCCACATGTACCAGCCTTCCTCAAAGTGCATGTCCACAAAGAAGCGCTGGAAGTCACGGCCCGTGTAGTTGAAGCTGGGTGTGGAAATGAATATGTGGTCCTCAGGCCACGCCAGGCGGGAGGGAAACATCCAGGGGGAGGTGGTTGTCATTCGCTGCTCCTCTCTCAGCTTGATGTTGGACATGATCGGGATGCCCTGGTTGTCACCTGTGGATATGGAGCAAGGTGGGTGGGGAGCCAGGCTGGGCCACCCACAGCCCACACTCTGCCCCCAGCCCAGGCTCAGATGGATCCTGAATCTTGTCACTGCCCAAAACAGACATCAGCTCCAAGCCACAGACTAGAACAGGCCTGGCACTCAGTAGGTGCTCAGTGTGTGCTTCTTAAATGAGAAGTCCCGATGGCACCTCTGTGGGGCCTCAAAAGGAAGGCAGGGAGGGGTGTCCTGAGGATGGGTATGAATGGTGGTGGTGGGGTGGTAGTGCTGGCTTTTCCCCCTCAGACAAGTGTCTGTTGGATTCTGGGGCTTGTGCTGCACAGGGCCAGAGTTGTGTCTGGGAAGGAGGCAACGAGACCCTGTCTGTTTGGCATTTATCAGTGTGATTACCTGATGTGTTTCTGTTTCCCCCACCAGACTGTGAGTTTCTACGGGCAAGGCCGAGTCTGGCTGTGCCCAGCAGGTAGCAGTGATGTCAGTGCTGGGTCCCTGCTGCCACTCCTCAGGAAAGGGCAGGAGGGGCTCCTAGGGCCTGGCCCTTAGTAGGGCAGATCCTTGGGCAAAGGGGCTCTTGAGAGCAGAAGGCATTTGAAAGCTGGGAGGGCAAGGCCTGGGGCCACAGGGAACCAGCCTCGGGTTATGAGTAAGGTTGCTGGGGGTCGCTTCCTCTGGGTTTATTTCCCCTTTGTCATCCCTGTCACTCTGGCAGGAGTCATCCTAGTGGTCCAGGTCGGGCTCATTGCTCTTGGGGACCCATGCCAGGGCCCCAGGGGAAGGAGGCAACACTTCCAGAGGCCAGCCTGGGATGGCATCATGAACAGAAGTTGGAGTGAGGGCAGGCTGATGGTCAGGATGTGGGTGAACAGGCCACTCACCTGAAGCCAGGACCAGCATGGGCTTGATGGAGCCACCCCAGGGGGCCCCAAGAGAGATGAAGCCATCAATGAATCGGTCCTTCCAGGACTGGGGCTGTTGCAGCAAGAAGTAGAGCAAGTGCAGGCAGCCAAGGCTGTGCCCGATGAGGAAGACGGGCTTCCCGTAGGCCGTGTGCATCTCCTCCACTAGCCCAGCGAGCTTCTGGTAATACTGTCCCTGCTGGCCTGCAGGTGGTGGGTGGGGTCAGGGCCTTCAGCGTCAGGGGTCACTTGCCCCCACCCGAGCCTGACACCCACAGAGACTCACTGGGTTCCAGCCGCCAGTCATAGGGGGCAGCCCGCACTGTTTCATCCCGCACATAGCCATTGTTGACCAGATTCTGCACCAGCGTGTGCATGTAACCTGTAGGGGTGGCAGCAGCATTGGGGGTTCTGGCAATGGCTCCTGGAGCCCCTGCCCTTTCCCCCAATACACACACCTGCCAGCTTGTTTTCGTCCAGGTACTCAACAGAGTAGGTCTTGCCAAAGCCAGGGACACGGATCTGTACACCGGGGGCATTGGACACATGCCCAGAGCTTCGGTTGTAGACAACCCTGGGGGCAGCAGGACATTCAGCAGGCCAGTAGCCAAGGGCAGGGCATGGGGGCTGGGGTGGAGGGGATGGCATGCACCTGGTGTTATCAATCCAGCAGTCTACTCCAAGGGGCAGGAACATATTAAGATCCAGCCAGATGGTGAAGAAGTCCTCTGTCTTGCGGTAGCACATCCAGTTCACCACATCTGGTTTGTCCAGCTTGGCTTCCAGCTGATTCCCCAGGCAGCCAGGTACTGTGGGCACCGGCCCTCACTCTGGACCCCTTGGATCCCCCATAGCCCCCACCCAGTCTCACCCCCCAAGACACTGCAGTCACCAGCCCCACACCTTGGTCTCCCCTGCCCTCAACCCCCGGACACTTAGGACACTGATCCTCTTTCTGATTTTCCCTCCCCCTGTCCCCCAGTAGCCCAAAGCCCAGGCTCCCCTCGAGCACAGAAGGTACAGGGGCCAGGGCCACTGACCCCTGCCTCTGCAAAGCAAATAGCAAGCCTCGCTCTCATTATTGTCAAAGTCCAAGGTGAGAACAAATAGGTGTGGGGGAGTAGGGGCTGGGCCTAGGGTAGGGGTCTGGGCTTAATGGGCCTCTCCTGCCCTGGGCTGGGCATCTTGTTCTTGATGGGTGGGGGCTGAGGAAGGAGTAGTGGGGCTGGGCCCAGGGTCTGGTGCGGCTGCAGCTGACTGCAGCTCATAATGCTCTGCTCACGTCTTCAGGCACTCCCCAACCCCTGGGACAGAGGACTCAGGACACAGCAAGAGTGTGGTGGGGGAAGGGGGCAAGTTCTCTGTAGGACAAGTCTTTGGCCTCTTGGAACATGGAGGCAGATACCAGGGCTAGTGCAGGGGCAGAAGGGTCCTGGCTGGGTCTGCCACCGGGGGCTGGGATCCAGGCTCCCCAGGGTCTCGCCTGGTACATCAGGGGCCTGGCGGGGGCTTACCGAGGATGACGGGCCGTGTGTGGTTACTGAGCTCAGCCTTGGGCGTGGTGTGCGGGGGGAAGAGCACATTGAGGAGCCAGAAGGGGGCAGCAGGGGGGAGCAGCAGCCCCAGCAACAGCACCCACTGCCATGGGGAGCCGGACAGCCCCATTCCAGCCCTAGTGCCTATTGCCCACTGAAGCAGACCTCGGCTGGCCTTATCTGGAGAGCGGTGGGAGGGCCCCAGGGCTAGTGGGAGGGGAGGGACAGCCTGGCCAATGGGGGTGGCCAGAGATGGCCGGAAAGGGGCACGGTCTCCAGGAGCTGGCTCTGGGCCTGGGTTCAGTTCCGCCTTCTTCCTTTGGTGCCAGGGGAAACAGAGCCGGGACAGCAGGAGGCCCAGAAGTACACAATGTTTTATTGAAAAAAGTTAGGCGTCAGCTTGGCCAGCTCCAATCAGCTTGGCTTGGTGGGGGGGTCCCTGCCCACAGTAGCCTGAGCCAGGCCTTCCCGCAGGCAGGCTGGGCCGGACACCCCTCCCACGCTGCCCTCCTTTCTTCTTCTGATGACATCCAAACAATAAATATACAATAAATAGTGCTCCTGGGCCAGGCTGGGCCAGCTGCCTTCAAACCTCACATCACCCCACACCAGTCTCTGCAACCAGAGTAGGCCTCCCAGGTGCTGGGTGGGACAGGCCCCAAACCTTCCCAGGTCTCACAGGACCTCGGATCCATCGCCACTGCCAAGCCCAGGCTGGTTCCAAGGAGACCTAGCAAGCTGGGTCCCAGGCAGGGCCAATAGTGGTGCTGGCAGGCAGGTGCTGGGAAGGGGCTGCTACCCTGGATACCTCCACTCCAGGCCACAAGGCTGCACTGGGCTCAGGAGTAGATGGTGATGACTTCACGGCCACCACCACGCACCAGCAGTACCCGCTCCAGGCCTTCAGTCAGCACCTCCAGGAACTCCATGTCTGCAGGGCATCAGGTCAAGGAGGCAACACCAGGGCCAAGGGGTACCCAGGGATAGTCTGCCCATCCATCAGA